CCCCCACATAAGCTGCCCACCTGGCGGAACACCGACGAGGAGAAGTAGATGAGCGCGTTGATGCCGCTGAACTGCTGGAAGACAAACAGCACGCAGCCGATGAGCACGCCCTTGCGCAGCCCCGGGGCAAACAGGTCGGACCAGCTGCCAGACTTGCCGCCCGCGGCGGCGGCGCCTGGGGGCGGGGCGGCCGGGGGGCACGTACGGGGCGAGAGCTGGGGCCACCAAGGAGATGCATGGGAGACCCGGAAATGAATGGTGACACCAAACAGATTTGTGCGGACTCCCGAGAGTTACATGGGGGCAGCCGGGCGATCAACCCAGGGCGACGCGCCGCTGCTGCCACGGCTTGCAAAGCGAGAGAAGACAGGCTGTGGCCACGTCACCTTCGCCGGCCGGCCGCCGCGCTGCGCACCTCCCAGCTGCGTGACGCCCGCGGGGCCCCAGAGCTTGTGGGCCACGTCAGCGGCCTCCGCGACCTTGCCCTTGCCCGCCAAAAACACGGGGCTCTCGGGGCACCCCAGCATGCCTGGGGCGCGGGCGCGGGCGGGCGGCAGCATGGTGGCGTTCAAGGGGTTGAGCGGTAGGCGAGAGCCGCAGCGGGTCGCGCAAGGGGAGGTTGGGCGTGCAGAGGGGCAAGGGCAACGCGGATGCGGACGTGGAGGCCCTCATGGGATCTGCCAAGAAGCTGCTAGGGCTCCTTCAGATGCAAACTTGACAGCGCAATGTCACCCAACAGGCCCGTCCAGCTTTTGAAAGCCGCTAGCAGCGCGCTCCCCGCCGCTCCCGCTGCCCAACCGCCGCCCGTCACGCCCGACAACCGCGTCGCCAGCCCGCCGCCGCTCACCGACGAAGAGGATGACGGCGGGCGCGACCGCGACCATGAACATGTTGCGCCACGCGGTAACCGGCAGCGCCACGTTGACCAGCAGGGCGCCCAGGATGCCCAGGCAGATCATGAGCTGGTTCAGGGACCCCAGGGTGCCGCGCACCTTGGTGGGGGCCACCTGGGGGGTGGGGGTGGGGGAGAGCAGCGGGTTGAGGTGTGCCGCCGCAGCAGGGGGTGGGACGGTGGGCGTTGGCGAGGTGGAAGGGGGGTGGCGAGGCGAGGGCGTGCGGAAGCTGCAACCCCATGGGCGCCTCCAACCGCCTTGCTGCCGTTCCCCAAAGCTTGCAACGCCGGCCGGCACAGCGCCGCCCGGCCTGCTGGCGGCACCGACAAGCGGCGCCACCATCACATGCACACGGACACACGCACATGCGTGCCGCTCGCGCCACGTTCCCACCTCTGAGATGTACAGGGGCACCAGCGCCGAGCTCAGCCCAATGGCCACCCCCGCCAGGAAGCGGCCCGCCACCATGGGATTGAGGCTCGTGGCCGTCGCCGACAGCAGCGGCCCCACCAGCATGGGCAGCGCGCACAGCATGAAGGACGCGCGGCGGCCGAGGGCGTCGGCGAAGCTGCCGCCCACCAGGCTGCCGGCGGCGGCGCCCATCAGCGTGCTGCTGACGACCTTTGATGGGAGGGGCGTGCGGCCGGTTTGGGCGGCTCAGAAGGGTCAATTCGCTCCACAACCCACTTGCTGGCCTTAAAATTGCCCTCATCCCACGGGCTAGGACCTCTGGTTTGCGCGTGTCATGCTCTGGCCACCGGCCTCCCAGCGCTGCGCTGCGAGGTGCGGGGTCGCGCGCGCGCGCGGCAGGCGGGCGCGGCGTTGCCGCCGCGCTCACCAGCCCCTGCAGCGCCTTGTTGCCCGCGAAGCCCAGCTCCTTGGCGATGGCCTGGGTGGGGCGGGATGGGGGTCGCGAGTGAAGACTGCGGCAGTGTGCTGCACGGGCCATGCCGCGCCGGCAAATGTAGGGCCTCTGCTGTTGATATCCCACTGCTGTTGATATCCCACTGCTGCTCAACACACACGCACGCACGCGCGCGCGCATGCACTCGCACCTCCAGCGGCCCGTTGACGACGCCAAGGTGGTACCCGAACGCAAACGCGCCGCAGCACGCGATGCCGACGGCAGTGAGCACGGCGCCCATGTTGGCGCCATCGGACGACGAAGATGAAGCGGAGGCGCCGGACGAGGCCGGTCGCGGCGCAGGGCCGCGGGCGGGGCCCAGGGGCCGGCCTTGGGGTCGCGGGGAGGGGCGGCGCGGTGGCGGTCGGGCGCTCTGGGTGTGCGTCCTGGCCCTCTGTGCTGACGTGGCGTGGCATGCGGGGAACTGGGGACGACGCGTCGCATGCATAGCGCAGCGAAGATCGGCTTGAACGTGGGCCCTGCACGTGCTGCTTAGATGCGCACCTGGCAGCTTGCAAGGGCTGAAGGGCGCCGGTGAGCGCCCCGGAAGTGGGTCACGGCGGCATGCTGGGCGCAGCACTTGCGAAGCTGCGACCGCAACGCGCGCCGGGACAGCGGCACCCTTGTTGCGAGCGAAGCATGCCCCTGATGCCCGCGCTTTCAGGGCCATTGCGCTGGGTGCTGGTGCTGCGCACTGAACCGGATGGCGATGGGAGTCGGTAGATCACAACACCGGGACGACCCTGATGAGAGACGGCGCTGAGGTCTGTGCAGTTCAAAATACTTTCTGCACCATGAGTTTGCTTGCCACACATTCAGCACCCCTTGAACACTCACGCACTCACCCGCTTTTTTTCACCCTCACCCGACTGCAACCACCCCGCATCCGCTTCCTGTGTGTTTTGCTTTTTGTGCTGCTGTCTCGTTGTTGATAAATACGCATCCAAACTCCGATCCTTGCTTGTGTAGCTAGAGCAGGTGCAGCCAGAGTGCAATGGCGGACGAGGCCGCTCCAGCCTTTGTCAAAGTGCAGGACTTGCGTCCAGGTTCCGCTGGCATCAACCTTCATGTCAAGGTGGGCCAGCGGCGTGCGAGCAGATCGATGACCTGACTTGGCCGGCCTCAAACCAACGCCCTCATGATCGAGAAGGCTCAAGAAGCGACCGGTCGGGCTGCAGGTAACCGAATCCAAGGTGGTAGTGGAGCGGCCCAAGCTCACGGTGGTTGAAGCCATCGTCGGCGACGAGACGGCGACGCTGGTGCTGAGCGCCAAGAACGAGCAGGGTATGCCAGGCCCCATGGATTGCGATGAGTGCATTCAGAGGGCCTCACAACATTTCCTGCCGATCTATTGTGGCAGCTGCAGTCGTGTGGCAGCATTGCCGGCCAGAGCAGCGTGCGTATGCCCATGCACCTCAGCCAAAACACAGCGGCACACAGTCAAGGGGAGCGCAGACCCACCCTGCACCTCTCAAACCGCGTCAGGGTGGTTGAGCAGACACGCGGCGGCTCTCTGGTTGCCATCAGATGTCACAGCTCCCCTGCTATGCGACGTCCCCCTCATTCAACCTTAACGCCTCACCCCCCAAAATGAACACGCTCATCCAGCCGAGCTGGTCAAGCCGGGCAAGTACCTGACGCTCCGCAATGCGCGCGTGGACATGTACCGCGGCACCATGCGGCTAGCGGTGGACGCTCTGGGCAAAGTGGAGGAGGGAGAGGCGTCGGGCTTCGAGCCCAAGGTGCGCAGGGGGGAGGTGGGGGGGGGACCATGCCGTGGGCGTGTCTGGAGCGGAGGATGAGGTGCAGTGTTTCGCAGGGGGGTCGTCAGGCAGCTCTTCCAACATGCGGACCGCGTTGGGTCATGGTCCTGCAAGCGGCCTTTGTGGTGATTTAGGGCTGCCGAGGTGCATATGTCGATTGAAGTCGGCTGGGCAATGCACGGCTTGCCGCCCCGTTTCTTTGACCTTCGGTGCCCGCGCCCAACATGCCAAACACGCCTGCCCTCCCTTGCCCTGCAATCCTTTGGGAGCCCCGCGCCTTGAGCGGCTTCGCACCTGGCTTGCACACGGCTGTCATCCTCTGCCACTACCTGTCACTCCACCGATTAAACTGTTTTCCCCGTCCCCGCAGAAGGACAACAACCTTTCCCTAGTCGAGTTTGAGCTGGTGCCTGTGGCCTAGTGGCGCGCGGACGATGTCTAGCGCTCTTTGACGTAGCAGCTGCGGACCGTCGCCGCTGTGGCTGTGGGCCGAAGTGCACTTCTTGTGTGCTGTGGCCCAGCGAAGGGCTCCCAATTACGCAGCACCGCCGGGCGGCTGGCCCGCCGCGGCACGAACGTGCCAGTCCTGATGCTCGTGCCCAATGTTAGCTCTGCGGGTCTCCCTCTTGCGTCTGCAATCGCCATTGAGTCACTGGTACTCAATCTGTTCCTTAGATAATGGAGATTCGTAGGAGTGCGAGCTGGTAACACAAGGTCACGTGGTCATGGCACCAGGCAGGGGTTGCCAGCCAGCATCGCGGCCCGGGAGACGAAGAGGCACCACGGGGGCCTGACTATTGACGATGAGGCGCACCAAGCGGCATGACGGCAGCCTGCAAAGTCCAGGCACGGTGCTCAACGTCACAGCCGCAACCTGCTGCATCGTAGCAGTCTTCTGCTGCCAGCTGCATTCGACGAATGATATGCGATGCACGGGTCATAAGGGCGGCTGCTGCTCAGGAGTTGCTGTCTGCAGCTTAAGGCGGCATGCATATACTGGCATGGCCGGCGGGGTGAGTGGGTGTGCCGGCGGGGTCTGTCGGTGGGTGTGCGACCAGCAAGCTACATCCTGCTCTGCAAAATCCACACATAATTCAAAAAATGACCATGGGTCCTGGAACAAGCCATATGTATGCGCAGGGGGCCCTGGGCTCGTAGGGCCTGCCAAGCTGCGAGCGGTAAAGACAGAAGACAGCACGAGTAATGGCATGTGCATCCAGCATTCTCTCAGTGTTTTGCAGCCTGCTGGCTGCACGGGCCATACAGCGACGCCCCTGCGCTCTGCGCTCGCACACTAGCTGCAGCGGCACGAGGTATGCGCAAAGCACCGACCCTGCAGTATCAAATGCCTGCTGCGCGCTGGTCGCAACGGCGCAGGTCGCCGCTTGGCCGCGCTGTAGTGTTTAGGCTGGCGAGGTGTGTGCAGCCCTTCCGTGCCCTACGCGGGGCGCCACGCTCACAGAAGCAGCGCCGCAGCGGCGGCCGCTCCCAGCAGCGCCGCGCTGCGCAGCGCGGCCGCGCCGGCCCCCGCCGCGCTGCTGCTCTGTGCCTCTTGGCGCCTGCGGGCCAGGAGCCCGCCAGCCGGCGCGCCGCCCGCGCCCGCGCCCGCGCCCGCGCCCAGGTTGGCGCCGAGCGGCGCTGCACCGCTGCTGCCCAGGGATGCAATTCCGAGCGGGTCCACCCCACTGTCTGTGGCGG